TATATGACCTTGACATTAAGGTCAGAATGTTTACTGAGGAAGTGGAGAGTTGATTACAACTCCCAGTGTGTAACAGGCTAAGGATTATTATATAACCCCCCCCCCCTTTTTCCGTGGAAAAAAAATGACAGCAGTTGCAACATGCAATATCTCTCTAGAATTGAATTCACACATCGGATCGACACGAAACTTTAGGGAACTGTAGCTGAGACTCTAAAGTAACTTCCTGTAGAGTTTTATGGTCTTTCTCTGAAAAATGTAGAAATTACATTTTTTCCGAAAAAACTTCAAAGAAAAAAATCATCCCGAGAGCAATGTGAAATCTTTCTCTTAGTTTCAAATCACACTTCAGATAGATATAAGATTTCAGGGAGTTGTAGCTAAGAACCTACTGGAACTTTCTTAAGTTTTATTGTCCTTCTCTCCCTCTCTCCAAAAAAAAAAAAGAATGAAAATTATCGGCAAACATGACTTTGGGTTAAATTTGAAACTAAGGACATGCATCCAGCTAGAGTAGCAGGTTAAAACATAGAACGTAAAGAATTTTTTTTTTAAATGACCTTGACCTTTGACCTTGACCCAAAGGTCACAATCAAGCTTAAGGATGTGGAAGTAGTTACAATTGTTAGTTAAAAAGAAACATAAAATAAATAACTCACCCCCCCCTTTCTTAAAAAAAAATCACATCAACAACAATGTAGAATATTTCTGTAAAATTCAAACCAGACCTCGGATCGACACCAAATTTGGGATAAATGTAGTACTGTAGATTCCTAAATATGCGCGAGGAATAAATTATCGCGTAATTACGCGAGAAGCACCATTCGCGAAATAAAATTACTCGCTTTTATTTTTATGTTGCTTTAATGTATGTAAAATCTCTAGATAAATCACCGATTCGCGAACTATTGTTCCCGCGATTTGACGCTCTTGGGCCATTTCGCGATATTAAGTACTCGCGTAAAATAAGGAATTTACAGTATAGACCTCAGAGAAACTTTCTGGAAAGTTTTACGGTGAGTCTTATAAGTATATAGAAGTCATGAAGTTTCACGGCAAAAACTACAAGTTCTGTTGTGTTTGAAATTAAAGTGCAGGTGAACGAAGAAATGATCTTAACCTTTTATTGGCTATTTCTTCAGATGTCGTTAATAGCATTCGATTCTCCTGATATGATATGACATTTTAATAACGAGCATTCTCTCTTTCTTTTACATGTGCAATTTATTTGATTTTTATTTGGAATTAATCAGTTTCCAGAAATAGCGATTTTCGATATATTAAAAACAATTCTCGCTTTCATTGTCGTGTTTCCCTTCTAAAAATGCATGTTGGGAGTTTAATTTGTGCTACATATATTTAATATAACCCAAAGAAATGCTTATTTAAATGTTTCATATTTATTTCAGGATATTCAGTCAGAAATGCTAAAATCCGAACCCGATCTTTAAAGCTTTCAACAAAGCTACATGTATTTACAAAAAAATCAGCATGCTCACAATATCGATGAATCGGGCCACAGTCCACTAATACATTTTCATTAGGGAACAGTGTTAACGTTTTCTCACGCAGCCCGTCCCTTCTTATTTTATATACTGCTTGCAAGTTCAGGAACTATTTCCTTTTACGGAACTTCTTTCTTCCCCTACCGATTCTAAAAATACGCTTGCATCTATTCTATAGTCCTAAACATTTTAACTTACTACTGTTGTCGGAATGCGTGGCCTAATGGTTAGCGCACCTGCCTTTCAACCCAAGGGTTTTGAGTTCGATCCCTGCTTGAAGAGCAATTTTTTTTTTTAAATAGACTTTTACGGAAACATCCAAAAATGTTTAACGACTAGTAATTTGTCTAGGAGAAATGATTTCTCTTATGTTTTATTAAGGTCTTTCGTCTTCAGCGGAAGACCCTTCTATTATTCTTCGGTTTCTTTTTCATTTTTATTAGGGTGTTCCCTCTTCAGCGGAAGACCCTTCTATTATTCTTCGGTTTCTTTTTTTTACTTTTATTAGGGTCTTCTGTCTTCAGCGGAAGACCCTTCTATTATTCTTCGGTTTCTTTTTCACTTTTATTAGGGTCTTCCGTCTTCAGCGGAAGACCCTTCTATTATTCTTCGGTTTCTTTTTTACCTTTATTATTATTAGGGTCTTCCGTCTTCAGCGGAAGACCCTTCTATTATTCTTCGGTTTCTTTTTTACCTTTATTATTATTATTAGGGTCTTCCGTCTTCAGCGGAAGACCCTTCTATTATTCTTCGGTTTCTTTTTTACCTTTATTATTATTCTTTTTTCTTCTTACAAAATTTGTGCAGACGATTTCTCGGAGATGGTTCGTTCGATTTTATTCAAATTTTCGTGGTTGATGCGTTGACATCTGAAGTTAATTCCGGCAATATCGTTTTTTGAAAATCACTTCCGGTCGGAAGTTATCGCCCTTTTATTAAAATTCAGAGGACCTCCTTGTCTGCGATGGAACTCAAAAACGGCTTAAGCTAGAGCGCTGAAACTTTCAGTGATGATAGAGGACATGTTGCCATTATGCACCTGGGTTTAAATATTTTCCGGAAGTGCCTAGTATGGAAGCTCGGTAGGGGTCGAAATTTAGGACACGAATCAAGAGTGAATTTTTGAGACATTTTGTGTCATATCTTTTAAAGTATAATTATTTTGTTAAAACATATTGAACAAAATTTGTGCAGAATGACAAGATCTGTAACATGATATCAAGAAAAAAGGGCTGACTTATCACATTAGGGGCCGATAAGGGCCAAAAGTCTTTAATCGATAACTCTTAAACAAGCAATATTTTTGTATACATTACTGAAGCAAAATTATTTATCTTAACAAATTACAACTATATATTATGATTTTTACGTCATATGTTACATAAATAAGGGCCATAAGGGGCCAGAATGCTTAATCTTTGAAGCTTTATATCTCGAAAAGGGGAAACATTTTGAAAAGCAATATTGAACAAAAGTTGTTTAGAATGATGATTTGAACAATGTGCATCCTTTGAATTTTTCCTAAACAGCCCCTATAAGGACTTAAAGGGACGGCCCCTAAATATTTCAAGTCTACATATCTCGAAAACCAAACGAAACTTCTGAATAGTTGTTGAACAGAAAGTCTTCAGAATTACAAGACCTTTCAAGTGATATCTAGAGAAAGGGGCTGACCCCTCAAATTAGGGGCTCAGAGTGGCCAAAAGTCTTTCATCTATAACTCCTTAACGTTAAATATTTTGATATTAAATATTGAAGCAAAAATGTTCATCTTCACAATCTGCAACTAGATATTATAAAATTTTCTTCAAATATTACGTAATTAGGGGCCATAAGGGGCCAGAATGCTTTATCTTTGAAGCTCTATATCTCGAAAAGGGGAAACATTTTGAAAAGCAATATTGAACAAAAGTTGTTTAGAATGATGATTTGAACAATGTGCATCCTTTGAATTTTTCCTAAACAGCCCCTATAAGGACTTAAAGGGACGGCCCCTAAATATTTCAAGTCTACATATCTCGAAAATGAAACGAAACTTCTGAATAGTCGTTGAACAAAAAGTCTTCAAAATTACAAGACCTTTCAAGTGATATCAAGGAAAAGGGGCTGACCCCTCAAATTAGGGGCTCAGAGTGGCCAAAAGTCTTTCATCTATAACTCCTTAACGTTAAATATTTTGATATTAATTATTGAAGCAAAAATGTTCATCTTTCCAATCTGCATCTATATATCTTCAAATTTTATAAAAAATTTCTTAATTAGGGACCATAAGGGGCCAGAATGCTAAATCTTTGACGCAAGCTCGTCTAGTAATTATTAATTTCTTTAACCTTTCTGAGCAGAAATCTCTTGAAATGACTCTGTTTATTGGATCTTTCCACCTATCTGTATGACCTTGACCTTTGACCTTGATATATGACCTTGACATTAAGGTCAGAATGTTTACTGAGGAAGTGGAGAGTTGATTACAACTCCCAGTGTGTAACAGGCTAAGGATTATTATATAACCCCCCCCCTTTTTTTCGTGGAAAAAAAAATGACAGCAGTTGCAACATGCAATATCTCTCTAGAATTGAATTCACACATCAGATCGACACGAAACTTTAGAGAACTGTAGCTGAGACTCCAAAGTAACTTCCTGTAGAGTATTATGGTCTTTCTCTGAAAAATGCAGAAATTACATTTTTTTTTCCGGAAAAACTTCAAAGAAAAAAATCATCCCGAGAGCAATGTGAAATCTTTCTCTTAGTTTCAAATCACACTTCAGATAGATATAAGATTTCAGGGAGCTGTAGCTAAGAACCTACTGGAACTTTCTTAAGTTTTATTGTCCTACTCTCCCTCTCTCCAAAAAAAAAAAAAAAAAAAAAGAATAATGAAAATTATCGGCAAACATGACTTTGGGTTAAATTTGAAACTAAGGACATGCATCCAGCTACAGTAGCAGGTTAAAACATAGAATGTAAAGAATTTTTTTTAAATGACCTTGACCTTTGACCTTGACCCAAAGGTCACAATCAAGCTTAAGGATGTGGAAGTAGTTACAATTGTTAGTTAAAAAGAAACATAAAATAAATAACTCACCCCCCCCCCTTTCTTAAAAAAAAAATCACATCAACAACAACGTAGAATATTTCTGTAAAATTCAAACCAGACCTTGGATCGACACCAAATTTGGTACAAATGTAGTATAGACCTCAGAGAAACTTTCTGGAAAGTTTTACGGTGAGTCCTATAAGTATATAGAAGTCATGAAGTTTCACGGCAAAAACTACAAGTTCTGTTGTGTTTGAAATTAAAGTGCAGGTGAACGAAGAAATGATCTTAACCTTTTATTGGCTATTTCTTCAGATGTCGTTAATAGCATTCGATTCTCCTGATATGATATGACATTTTAATAACGAGCATTCTCTCTTTCTTTCACATGTGCAATTTATTTGATTTTTATTTGGAATTAATCAGTTTCCAGAAATAGCGATTTTCGATATATTAAAGGGATAGTCTCTAAGGTTTATTTAAACAAAATAATATACTTTTTTCTGCATTTGGTTTAACAGACCTTGTCAAATAATGCTGATCTGCCAAGCTTTGCACTCAACAGAGTGCCTCACCTATCACTTATTTAATAAACAAACTGCCGGATTGAATTTTTATCATCCACACAAAAATTCGGCTTTTATCTTTGGTCCATTCACGAAGACCCCTGCTGACCCTGCTCGTAAAACAAACTGCGCATCCCTGACCGAGGTCAGAGTAGCCGAAGATGTCGGAGGAGAAGAGATCAACACGTGGGAGAAAACGATCTTTAACAGATTCAGCAAGAAAACGAAACAGAAGTTTGGTTGTGTCAAAATATAATCAAGGAAGAATAGCTATAGGTGGTCAGTATGATCGTTGGATGGAATTAAAAGAGACGCTGCAGCTTAAAACTCATGCTGATGTAGCAGAGTACCTGCTTGATCGGTAAGTAAAGTAATGTTCATTTCCACAAAAACTGCTAAATAGATCTTGATTTCAGTACAAGTATTTAGTAAAAGAAATGAGTTTTATCTGTTATTTTTATCTAAAACTGCAATATTTTAGAGAGAAAATGGGGATTAAGCTGATTAACAAATGTAAACAATATGTAAACAAATCGGGAAAGCTGATAGGGGCCCCCAGGGGGTACACTTTCATTGTGAAGCAAATGCGATGGGGTAAATAAAAGAGAGATAAAACTTGCTGCTTTATTAATTTGGTTTGTGTAATATAATGCTATATATGCAGGATTTTAGATAATAGTACTGATATTTTATTGAAATTAAAATAAGTAAATCAATATTTCAAATGAACTAATGTTACAATGTATATGAACATACATTTTGTTTATATAGGAATGAAACCTTGACATTTGAAAGTTCTCCCAAGAAGGTGAAAACTGCATTAAGTGCAGTAACATCAACACCGGGACATGCAGCTACAATTTTCCCACCCAAATTTTCAGATGTTTCTGAAATATCTTCAGATCTGGACAAGGGGGACAGGTACAGAAACAAGATTGGCATTTAAATTAAAATGTTCTTTAAAATCTGAGTTATATCTCATCATCATTCTTGAAAGATATATTAATATACATGTATAGGTGTTTTGTTTCTACTTTTAGAAATTCAAATTTATCTGGTATAGAGCAGTTTGTAAAAACTGATATGAAAACAAAAACTCCAAGCAGTTTCTTGAATCCTTTAGAGTAAGTACAATTATTTAACTCATAGATATCATATAAAAATTGGTTCCTTGGTTATAAGATTTGATATGCATCAAAATACCTTTAAATAATATTTGTTATTACTGATATATGTCATTGTATTCATATTGGAATAATTATCATAATCCATGTTCATCTTAATATGTAAATTTTATTTTGTAGTCTCTCAATCTGCTTATCAGAAAACTACACCAACGAGGACTCGGAGGATTCATCAGATGAAGATTATGAGCCTAGTTACATAATGACGATTAGGTATGTTTTGCAAGGGCACCTTGTCATTAAGCCAGTATAATTTGTAATTTATCTTCATATTTCAATACTTTCAATATACTGCCTAACATTACAATTATTAAAAAAAAATTTTAATCACTGTCATAAGAGAGGACACTCAGACTGAAGCCATGGTTGAGGACTCAGAGAACGAGGATAGCTGTGATGAGGAATCAAATGATAATCTACGCCCGGGGATTGCCAAAATTTTAACTCAAGAGGAAATTGAGGGCTGTAAGGAAGATCATCCTTTCATTGTTTACCTCTCTCAGTTACTAACATTAGCTGAATTATGTGTCCTGCCAAACTGTCAGCTTAAAGGATGCAAAAAACCAGTGCATTTGGAGAAAGCTGTTGTTGGGTCAGCACTCTATTTAAAATGGGTATGTAAAAAAAAAAATTACCTTGTAATCTCATGTTTTAATTAAGCATCATTAATTGGAAACAAATTATTATCATATGGTTTATTTGTAGAATTGTTCTGATGGACATCAAGCACAGCAGTGGTGCTCACAGCCTGTCTTAAACAGAGGAATGCATTTAGGGGATTTGACACTCTCCTCTTCCATCTTACTCTCTGGAAGCAATTTTCAGAAAGTGTCAATGATGGCCAAATTTATGAAATTACCGATTGTGAGCAAAAACTCATTTTATAAAATGCAAAGAACGTACTTGATTCCAGCAGTGGATGAATTTTGGACAGAACATCAGGAAACTGTGTTTAACCAGTTTCAAGGAAGAGATGTAACAATACTTGGTAGATATCTTTTAAGTTACACCAAAGAAATTATGGGCAAAAAGTTCATGAAAAAATGCCAATAGCATTAATGTTTTAATTTATCACATAGATGTATTCATCATTATTTTTTTCATACATGTTTAATTTTTTTAATAAAAGGAGATGGCAGAATGGATAGCCCCGGTCACACTGCTCAATATTGCTCCTATACATTCATGGAGTATGACACCAAGACCATTTTGCACATAATTACTATGGACAAGCGAGTGACAGAGAAAAAAAGCACAAATCTTGAGAAAGCTTGCTTTGTCCAGGGCTTGAGATATCTTCTGGACAAGGGACTTCATATTAGTGAAGTTGTTACAGATGCTCATGTTCAAGTTGCCTCAGTAATGAGTAAGTTTAAACAAAACAACCAATATATACTACTACATGTTTAAGTAAATCATCTGTTTAAAAATTTAACAGAGGCATACATGTACATATAGATTTTTGTGGTAAATGAAAATGGTCAAGGGACTTCATATTAGTGAAGTTGTTACAGATGCTCATGTGTAAGTTGCCTCAGTAATGAGTAAGTTTAAACAAAACAACCAATATATACTACTACATGTATAAGTAAATCATCTGTTTAAAAATTTAACAGAGGCATACATGTACATGTAGATTAATGAGGTAAATGAAAATGGTCTTTATTTGTTAATTTTGCAGAAAAAGACTTCCCAGACATAAGACATTCTTTTGATATTTGGCATGGGACGAAAAACTTAGGCAAGAAAATCATCAAGGTAACTTTTAATCAAGCATATTTGTATACTGTTATTTATATTTAAATATTAAATCTTCAAACAACATAATTGAAAATCTTTTGAAATACATGTATTTTTGTGCAGTGCGTTTATTCATATCTTTTAGGCAGGTCAGCAGAAAAACCAAAAAGATATCCTATCATGGACAAAAGATGTTGTCAACCATTACTGGTACACAGCTACCATCTCAAACACAAAGGAGGAGTTTATTGTAAGTTTCCAAATTATATATATATATATATATATATATATATATATATATATATATATATATATATATATATATATATATATATATATATATATACACACCTTGCAAAAGCATTGCATATAATTATGAAAATTGGTCTAAAATAGATTTTACTTTTCAAGGGGAATTGGATAGGAATCCTCCATCACACAGTTAATGTTCACACATGGGTTTTGCCCTATAGTGACATTAACGAATGCAACCATGGACCACTGACTGAAGAACGAACAAAAGGGTGGTTAGAAAAGGATTCTCCAGCTCATGTGGCTCTTCGGGAAATTGTGTTAGACAAACGTCTCCAGAACAATGTGACCTACTATCTTAACTGCAGGTCAGTTTTATACGGGAAATAATTAAGGCCAAAATAAAAAATACTTTTGTTTCCCCTAACGACCTAATTAAATCCCGCCGACTGAAAAGTGTTTTAAAGAAGATTATTCAAATATTTTTTTAATGTTTATCAACTTTTATAAAATACAATTTCATGAAAACCCGTTCTTATCAGAAATTCAGAATGTATTTTCAAAGCTGCTGTCAGAAAAAAATTATTTACCTACCTTCCTATCCAACTTCAAATTTTAGGGTCGGGTTAGGGGAAACAAAGATATTTTTAATGATGGCCTAATGTAAGTTCTTTTTATTATATTGCTAAAGAACTATGTTAAAAAAATTATTAACACATTCTTGTCTTTTATAGGAGCACAGCAGAACTTGAGAATTTCCAGAACGTAGTGAATGCATATGCATCCAAGCGTCACTCCTACAACCCACCTTCATATAGGTGCAGGAATCGACTTGCTGCCTTGGACCATAACCACCATATAAATAGAAACGTTCTTGTCAAGAAAGATGGAGCAACACAGTAAGCAATATATGAACACTGGCCCGTATTTATTGTTGACTGTAACAGTTAAACAAAAACAACATGAACAATAAGACAAAATTTACAAAATACACTCATTTCAGATATCAGAGGAGCTATAACAAAAAAAGTGGAAGATGGGCAGTTCATCCTGTGAAAGAGAAGAAAGCATTTTCATATATCCCATCTCTGCAAGAGAAGATTCTATTGTCAAGAGTGTCGGATGAAGTAGGGATGAACCAACCCGTGGTGCTGGAGGCAGATGATCCAAGAAGGTTGTCATCCCATCTGGCTCCACTCCCACCCCCTCCAACTGAACAGCTTGTTGTAGAGCAGAAGTCAAGGTTTCTAAAACAAGAAAGAGACAATTGACGTTTTTATTAACAATTACTTCTACATGTAAAATAAAACTATTTAAGATTTAAAATTTGTTGAGTCATTTTATACTGATTACGTATAGTTAGGATAATGTTGTTAACTCACTTTATCCTAGTCGCCCTCCAATGAAACCTCTATACTGGCCAAACGCATCCGGGAACTTGTCCCTTATTCTCCAGACACAACAACTAGGTATCACCCTTCGGTTTCTTGCACCTAGGTGACCATGATGCCAAAGGATAAATTGTCTGTAAGCTGCATGCCTGTTCCCTCTGTTAATATCTGCATCAGGGGCAGCAGCAAATATGTCCTCGCGGTAACGCCTTGCAACAATTAGTACAAGGTCATCAAGGACAACCCTTTGGAAATCCTGGAAAGATAATTAATACTAGATGAGTTAATCTATAAACTTAAATTTGTAAAATTTAAACTTCATTCATCTGTATATCAGTAAATTGAATTTCTTACTGGAACAATTGAAAAGCAATTTGTTGGAGTTTGTCCACAACAGAGTTTCTCAATTTCGGATGGCATCTCTCTGCAGTGGTCACAAGTGCACCAGCTAGGAGTGCCATCTGATGGTTGTGGGTGGTACCCTTGTCTTCTTTCATTTTGAGATGCCTCATTCAAAATATCAAAAACAAATGTTGGGTCCCTGTTGCATATTGTTTGAACAAGGTTCCTCAAGTTTTGCTCCTCAAGGTTAGATATGGTTTCCTAGAATAATTATACTTTTCTGATAAATTACATATATATAATTATATATATATCTTAACAAGCTATAAATGAGTTGTATACATTGTATGTATGAATGAAGGTTATTTTGATTTATCAACTTATCAAAATTTACCCTAAGATGAGCATCTCTCTGCTCCCTTTCAGCTGCAAGTCTTTCAGCAACAGTTTCTTGGGTGATTCTTCTGCGGGCACCTACACCTCTTCCACCTCTCCCACCTCTTGTCCTTACTCCCCTTGGGCGTCTTCCTCTCCCACGTCCTCTGCCACGTCCCCTTCCCCTTACCGAATCTGAAGAGGATGAGGATTCTGGGGAGGAAGACCTCTGTCTCGATAGATTGAAATTCTAAAATAAACATAATATTATTCATAAAAATAAAATACATGTTGATTAAAGTAATATCATTCATAAACATAAAATACATATTGATATATATATATCCTCAATTGCTCAATATTTCAAATGTGAAAAAAATTATAATGGCAAAATCTCAACAATTTTAATTAAATTAATTTACATTTAAATTGGCATTTGTTAAAATCTATATATTAAATTCCATTATTTTAATCGTTTTGTTAGCATTATAGGTATACAGTTAATTAGGAGCAGGCTAGTTTTTTTTAATAGATATATAAATGCATGTCTGTAGTTGTTCACATGTTTTGTAAAATGTACATAAATTAACATTTTAAATTCAAGACTTAAAAGCTCAACTTCAATTTCAAATTTGAGATTTGGAAGTCTTTGAAATTTTAATTCAAGAATTACTTATGGTGTGTAATTCCAATTATTAAGTGTTAATTATTTAAAATTTTCCACTCTTATTATTTTATTTTTGTAAATTTATGATAGAAAGGGGGATTTTGTTAGTTTAACATGATTTTCTATGTCTTTTTTCAATCAGAAACAGAAAACCATCAACATAACTATACTAACTTTAGTGTTGTTCATTGATTAGTAAACCCTTATGAGGCCCCTCACATATGATAACCTGCTGGAGGTCACTGTTCAAATGAGGTGTGTTTATTAAGAGAAATATAAATGTAAATAAAACTTTTTCAGTATAATTTTAAGATTCTTCAAGCTTTAAATGTAAAAACTTACCTCTTCTGTCTCCATTCTCTGCTACTTTAAGCATCCAAAGTGAAAATGATAAGATGGTCAGCATCTTCCTGCTGAGTCGGCTATCTTCGGAAATCATGCCGAGCAATAATGAGGGCAGTAAACAGACTTCAAAGATGGGTGATAATATTTATTGATTCTGTTAATCAGCACACTTCTTTTAAGCTTGCAATTATGAGGGATTGTCCTAATAATGTATTTCACACATGTGCATGCTAATTTATTGCTTATAAAAATAGTGTTCAGACCTTAGAGACTATTCCTTTAAAAACAATTCTCGCTTTCATTGTCGTGTTTCCCTTCTAAAAATGCATGTTGGGAGTTTAATTTGTGCTACATATATTTAATATAACCCAAAGAAATGCTTATTTAAATGTTTCATATTTATTTCAGGATATTCAGTCAGAAATGCTAAAATCCGAACCCGATCTTTAAAGCTTTCAACAAAGCTACATGTATTTACAAAAAAATCAGCATGCTCACAATATCGATGAATCGGGCCACAGTCCACTAATACATTTTCATTAGGGAACAGTGTTAACGTTTTCTCACGCAGCCCGTCCCTTCTTATTTTATATACTGCTTGCAAGTTCAGGAACTATTTCCTTTTACGGAACTTCTTTCTTCCCCTACCGATTCTAAAAATACGCTTGCATCTATTCTATAGTCCTAAACATTTTAACTTACTACTGTTGTCGGAATGCGTGGCCTAATGGTTAGCGCACCTGCCTTTCAACCCAAGGGTTTTGAGTTCGATCCCTGCTTGAAGAGCAATTTTTTTTTTTAAATAGACTTTTACGGAAACATCCAAAAATGTTTAACGACTAGTAATTTGTCTAGGAGAAATGATTTCTCTTATGTTTTATTAAGGTCTTTCGTCTTCAGCGGAAGACCCTTCTATTATTCTTCGGTTTCTTTTTCATTTTTATTAGGGTGTTCCCTCTTCAGCGGAAGACCCTTCTATTATTCTTCGGTTTCTTTTTTTTACTTTTATTAGGGTCTTCTGTCTTCAGCGGAAGACCCTTCTATTATTCTTCGGTTTCTTTTTCACTTTTATTAGGGTCTTCCGTCTTCAGCGGAAG